ACAAGAAAGCCATTAGCATCTCAAATCCTTTGTTGGCAGCAGCATGATGGTGATGATGATCCTTTCCTCACTCTAAGAGAGGACAAGAGGCAACGGGCAGAAACTGAACCACAGGAAGTTCCATCTGAACCTGAGAAAAAACTTCTTGACTGTGAGGGTGACAGAGCATTGGAACAGGTTGCCCAGAGAGGTGGTGGAGTCTCCTTCCCTGGAGATATTCAAAAGCCGCCTGGATGTGATCCTAGGCAATATGCTGTAGGTGACCCTGCTTGAGCAGGGAGGTTGGACTAGATGATCTCCAGAGGTCCCTTCCAACCTAAACGATTCTGTGATTCTGTGATTCTGTAAACTGAAATCCCTATTGTTTCTCTTCAGTTTTAGTTTTTCATTTTTCTTTAGTTTCACCCCATAAGTTTTAAATGATTCCTTAAAGTTGACTTACATCATCATACTGGAAGTTCACAAAACCTTGCTGAGATGCATCCCTTCTTCTAAAACATTCTGCAAAAGTGTATTTAAAAAATAAATGCAGAAACCAGGTAAGAAGAATTACAGTTAATCAATTTTTTTTTTAAAATGTATTGTACTTTCTTCTTAGATTTGGCTCACCCCTATTGCAAGTTGTCTTCTGCAGTATCAGAAGACTAGTCCACATATGTTACTACTCATAATTACAAACCATTTCATGCAAAGTTCTCACCTCCCTGAATTTCATCCCAAAGTAAAACAAAAAGTTCAAGGTTTCAAGAAGGTACAAAAGGGGGAATTAGGGCAGAGCAAAACAGAGGCAAGGAAACAAAAGCAAATCACATGGATGAGAGCTTAGGAAGAACACTACAATTTGTTCCCAGACTTAGTTTGTAGTTCTTAATCTTCATATTTATCACATCCAATATGTATGACAAATCTTCATATTGATCACTTACCATTGACAGCGTGCCTCCCACCCTTTATGTTCTGTTAATAAACAGTTCCCCAATTTTGAAAACAACTTTTCTAGTCTCTGGAATAAATCCTGTATTAAGTCTCTTTTTCAATGGGGACTTAACTAATCAGAATCTATAATTTTACCTGTTCTGCCTGTAAACTCCATTGAAAGAAACAGATTGTGTTACATAAAAGTTGAACCTGAGATGCCTTAGTGATCCCGAGTAATCAGATTTTATTGAACAAAAATCTATTATGGACATGCTATTAACAGAGCCATAATCAACATACCAGTGAGAGCTCTGAGTTTTACACAGCAGGCAATGTAATCATCAAATGTAATCTTTCCACGGGTGCTGTATCGCCTTGTGATTGCTGTCACTGCCTGTGGGCTCAATCTAAATCCTGTTGGAAAAGAAAGAAATTCCACATTGAAATGACAGGTGAGTTAACACAATAACAACATCTTTTTTATTGGAAATATGTGACAGTTACTACAGCACTTAATGGGTGCTGGGAAAGGCTGAGAGTTAACATCAGTGTAAGAAGCCAGAAAATTTCACAACTTACCCATATTTGTCAAGGCTTTCTCTAGTTCTTGGCGATCCACTGTGCCACTTCTGTCATTGTCAAAACTCATGAAGTGTTGTCTCCAGCCATTGACAACAGCCCAGAGTTCTTTAAACTCATTAAATCCCAGTGTACCAGACATATCTCTCTGATTCCAAAGCTAAGAAAAAAGTTTCTTAGCTTCCAAAATTAAAAAAAGCCCTCTGTTCAATGGAAATTAGTATTTTTATCATCTATGGTCAAAACTCTTGAAGTCTGAGAAATAAGATACCGTGAGGCTATTATCAACATTTTATTGTTATTATTCCTTTTCGTGGAAAACTAACTAGAACGTCCCACAGCACAGACAGATGATACTTCTGACCAAAAGTCAGAGAAATCACTCTCTCTCCACTTTTTCCCCCTCAGTGAAACCTTATAAAACTATTTGCTCTTTGTGAACGTAACTTAGCTGGCTATCTTCTCTTTACCCACTGTACTGCAGTTGTTAGCAGTAACATACCTATCTGAAATAAAAACAGAGGCCAAAAAGAAAAATTAAGTTAGAATAACACCAGTTCTCTGTTATCCTAAGCAGGGTGTTCACAGCTCTTCCAGTTTCATTTGTACTTTTTTTTTTTTTTTTTTAAATATTTGAACATTGTAAGTTTTAACTAGAAGTCTTCAAAGGTTCTAAGCTTGCATTATATACACCTAAGTCTTCTACAGGTTCCACTGCTGAATGCCATATACCATCTCCTTAAGGTACCCGGACCTGATTCATTCAATGAACAGGATTTAGGAGGCCTTAGACATTCAAGCTCTGTACACACGCTTAAATTCATTAGGACATCTACAGTGGTGTCCAATTTTAAAAGCACAATAAATGATTTGCCCAAACCTCTGTTCTGGGCTGCCAGACCTGACTCACTACACAGTCAATGGAGAAACAGTCCAAGACTCAGAGACATACCGCTTGTTATGAAAGGTCAACCACTGAGAGTCTCATTTATTAGAATTATTATTTCATCCTGTAAACAGAATAAGAAAGGGATTTTGTTGCTCACGGTCATACCCGATTACATACACGAACTAAGGTCTGAATGGAAATGACAAAACATTTTCCCTTATCTTTGTTTATGTAATGTAAAAATGTTTACGTATCACAATAAAGGATACATCCAGCATTGAGATCATGAGTCTGCAAGTCTCTAAGTTGAAAGCTAAATTAGAAAAATGAAAAACAACACCGGTATTAAAACATTATAATAAGCAATTTTAATCTTTATATAATCAAAATTGAAAACTAGTCTTTTTTAGGTAATGTATTATATAATTGCTTCCACTGTATATAGCCATACCATGTTTTGATCCAAGTAAGACCTTCTAATCATGACTTGTTAAAAATATTGATGACACAATCTAGAGACCATTGAAATCATAAATAAAATTAACGTGCTCTTAATCCATAAAGCTTTTGGGTTTCAGTTGAAGTGGTTGTTTATGTTTCACCATAGGGATCACTTGAGCAACCCAGCTTTACTCACAAAAACTCAATTTTGTAAATCAAACACTAAGCACCCTGACAGAGGGGTTCCAGCACAGAAACTTTTTTGCCAGTATCAAAACTCAACCTAAAAACAAAACACTTTAAGAATTGCCTGTCCATTACAAAACAAACCACCACTTCAGCTCCACAGCTCAGCAATGGGGAACTAAGCAGGTGGAGAAGGGAAGTCCTATAGACACAGAACTAATTACAGAGAATTTGTATTTGAAAGTATTCCACATGTCAAGAAAGCCCTTTTACCATGCAACAAAAAATGCTCTGCAGAAAGCACAATCACATGCTTTTCCTAGCAGATGTAGTAAGAATAAGCATACTTTAGGGGTGGGGGTATTTTGTTTATTGACTTACGTTTATACGCTCCTGCGATTCCTGACTGGGTCAGACATCTCTGTAGCTCATCAGCATCTATTTGTCCATCCTTTTGAAAACAGAAGATAGATCAGCTACAGTTTGAATTCCCTCTTCCAGTTTGTGTATTCTCTTCTCAGTAGCATTAAATCGGTTACCTTTGCAAAAGGGAACTGATTGCTTGTCTCTGCTATATGACAGAAACTGCCTTTTATAACTTGCATCTCTAATGGTGTCTCTTCAGTTGATATTGTTGCAGCATGCATTAGCTTTCACATCTAGTGACTTTATGTACTCAAAAATAATCAGGATTTGCAGCAAGTTTGCTCTAAACTTAACTTTTTTTTTTTTTTTTTTTAAAACTACTTAAAATTTCGGTAGCATCTATTTGAGAGCAAAGCACACAGAAATCGAGGCACAAAATCTTCCAGAGAAGCTCAACTCAGCTCAAAGTACTAATTTCAAGTTAATAGGTATTACTTTCACTTTAGTTTAAAGGCTTATGATCACATTGCTAGAGTTGGAAACCTGGAACCCAGATCATACATCATCTTACCAAGGCAGACTTAAGATTGACAAATTTTAAAAAAGGGGTGCTTGGGAATAGTAAGTTGTTAGCCAAAAAATGAAAGCAGAAAATAAAGAATTTTGAAAGGT